ATTTATGTAAATTAATTTTTTTAATATTGAATATTTTTAAAAGCATATATAAAAATTTATTTAGCCTTATATGTTTTAATCCAAGAGTATACATTCATATCTGTAACATATGTGAAGATATAAAACACTTTTGAATTAAATTCAGCAAGGAACATACTTTACATTGTTCCCCAAAAAATTGCAAAAAAATAAATAAATAATAACATTATTACTTCATTATAAATCCAGTTCTGATTTCTAGTAGGCTAACCACATTTGCATTAACAATCGACATGTTTTTTTTTTCCCCCCATGAATTGCATTTTGAAATATATTTTGTATATGAAAGTTGAACCTAAATATTTTTTTGTATTCAAAAATATATTCTTTGAGCTTCACTGTTTACAACATGTATTTATTTAGTATATTCTAGCGGATATACAATTATAAACTTAAATGAGCATAATTTGGACACTTGCTTGTTTCTCCTAGACAGGACAGAGACTGAATGGAAAGCGCTTCTGTTGAAAACAAACCCAGTAATCTCTGTGTTTTCACTTCAGCAGAGATTTTTAACAATGTTTCACAATGTGGTCAGCTTTTTTGGACACGGTCTGCAATCAAAAGTCAGAGATCTTAATTTGAACCCAAACATTACTCTTCAAATGACCTGAACTGCTCCACATTCATTTTATAGCTCTGTACTTTTACTGTCATTTGAGTCTGTTTTATTTCTACTGAGGATTTTTAAGATAAACAACTCACTTAATAAGACATAAGTGTGAACTCCGTTAAAGTCTTATGAGCTCTGAAAGAGCAACATCTGATCAACAAATCTTTACAGTTTCTGTTCACCCCACTTTCTGTCTCTGTCTGTGTTTTAGCATGCCCGGATCTATGATCATTAGATTACCACTCCCTAGCATTTTAATTGACTCTAATAACAAAATCCTCAATCTGTCAGATATTGAAAACAGTGAAAATCTTTGCTGCATTGTGCAATTTCTTTGGCAATAGCAGCACCAAATGTAATAGCACAAATAATGACTGTTTTCAGACAGGTTTCCCCAAGCACTGTTCTCATCCGTCAGGGTCTGATGGGTAATAAACATTTTCTGCACGCTATTTCATGACTAAATTGTTTATGGCACTTTTGATCGGAGCTGACTGTTTCAGAAATGTGCTTGTTGAAGGTATGTTGAAGCATGTCGAAGCAAGATGAAGGTAAACAGAGTTGCAAGGCTTGAGCTCGAGGTTTGACTCTAGCACTAAAAGCCACCTGGACACTTTCTAAATGAAGTGAGTGATGAACGGATGAGGTGATGGAGGGGTGCTGGAAGTACAGTCACGGTGGTGAGGTCAGCAGCTGTTTATATACTCTTGCGTAACGATTGACAGGATTAGATGAACTCGCTCCTGAACCTTCTTCGTTTAGCACCTCATCACATGTGTGCTCTAAATGCATGGTTGCAAGTTAAAAAATCAAATTTATCGATTTAATGAAACCTTTCAAATACTTGAGTTCTCAATGCTGATCATACATCAACTTAATATTTTCAAATTTAAACTCAAATTTCTGCCTTAATTAAATTTAAATTCTATTGATGAAATTGTCTTGATAACTCGGATTTCTTGTATTTGATAAATGTATTTTTAGTTCCCAGCATGCTTTGCATAGCACTATGTAAGGAGAGTAAAAGTTCAAATGAAGCTTTGTATATGTCTTTTAGTAAAGAGAAAGACCTGTCAGTGTTTAATGCTGTTATGCTTGATATTTAAAAGAGTTTGTTTGTGTTGTGCTGAAGAGTAGAGCTCATGGTTAGATTATGGGTTGATACATGAAGGTTTACATCATCTGTATGAGCAATGATTGTGATAATGTTAGACAAATGTAATGTCTTATTTGTCCATTCAATTTAAATGCAAAATAAATCACATTTACATGTGATTTTAACTGAAATACATGGGGTTAATTACACTCAAAAACATACAAAACTTTCAGAAGGTATTAATATGTACTTTTATGTTGTGTTTTGGTCATTTTGACCAGGAGAGATTTTTGTCTTGAAAATACTAGTAATTTTTTTGTTATTATTGCAATTTTTTTGCTACACTCATGGTTTTTCTAGTCAAATCTGGCCAACAAAAATTGTTTGTAAATATTACCAAATATTGGATTCTATCTTTTTTATCAACTTATTTTCTCTTGATTAGCACAGGTTTTGTATTTCTTTCTGGAACTGACTGATCGTAGGCCTCATTGATCTGAGCTTATTCACCTCAGTTTCACAGTGAACATTGCCAAAATTATCCTCAAATAATTCATTTTTCACTGAAAACCTGAGGTGCATAAGCTCAGATTAATAAAATGATCAAACGAGTTTCAGAAAGAAACCTTTTTTTTTTGAGCAATCAACTTTAAAGTTTGCGTTTATGCTACAAATTACTGTATTAAGTTCCTCTAACTCACTGTAGTTTACTGGTTGAACATAATTTCATTAGAATTAGTTATTAGTTGTCCTATCATTTCATATATTCTGCTCTAAGAAAACAAAACATTTGGCCACTTAAATTGATCTGAACTGATATCTTCGGGACTTTTCACCCGGTCTACTAGTTTTCCATGTGTGTATTGTTAGGTTTATAGCAGTGTTGACCAGTCTGCTAGATTTATGAGTGAACAGTAAACACGCACCCCAGTCCTGTCTGTCTGTCAGCGCCGGACACTCAGAGATGCTGGTAATATATATTCCTCCCAGAAATATCTCCAGTCAGGGCCAAACAGCTTCTGGCACCTGGTTTTATTACAACAACTAAAGATAACAGACAAACATCCACATAATATTGTCTATTAAAAAAGTACTTAGGCTAATCTTATGTTTTGATTGTTGTATATAAGGACTTTTTTTTATTAAAAATGTATTTATTATTAAAATTATGATATTATTATTTATTAATTTATTTTTGTACATAAATTCATATTAGTCATTTATTTATGCAATTTATATTCAACTATTTTTTTTACATTTATGCGGATGCATTACATTAAAAGGTATTTAAGATCATTAAAAAAATACATAAATTCAGTAAAGTGTGTCTAAATGTTTCAACAGTAGTGTATTTATACCATATATATATATTTCTGTGTGCCCTTAATAACTCAGGCTTTTCCCAATAATAGACTAACTTCAAATGTGCTTGCATCATATCCAAATATCTGCCTAAAATACACTTAAAACAAGTCTAGATCGTTCATTTGAGTTTGTTTACTGAAGGTGTTGTGACACATCTGTTCTTCATCGTTAAAGGATTACCAAAAATTATAATTTTGAAATAATTTAGTCACCATCATGTTTAAACCTGTATGACTTTCTTTCTTCTGTGCAACATTGAGTATTTTTGATCTGCTCTTTTACATGCAATAAAATGGACAATATTCCAAGTCTTCTGAAGCCATATGATGCTTTATGTGAAGGAGACTCAAATGCAAGTTGCTATTAGCAGAAAATGTTGTAATGCATGAGTTGTAAGGACTACTTTTATACTTGAACGGTGTTATTTATTTATGTATTTAAGCTTGACACAGTCAGCCCTCATTCACTTGCCTTATACTGGATATATATTTCTGGCATTTCTCTTCAGTTTGTGTGAACTGAAGGATTATTATTCTGGACGAACCTTTAAAGACAATCGCTCTTTCCCAATTTTTGTCAGTACTGAAGAAATATCTGTTGTGAAATGCTCTCTGTTGATCATCACTTGTTATACTCAGCAAAAAATAAAAAAAACATTTTGCAAGTGCGTCAGCAGCTTTTGTCAGAATTAACCTAAAATTTGTATCCTATAATAATAATAATTGAATATTTATTGATAAAAATCATACTCTTGAGCCTTGGAACCATTACTGGAACCAAATTATTTATTGATACATTTGTTATTGAATTAATGATTAAATAAACATGAATTATGATTAATTTGATTGATAATGGGTTTATAAATCAAATAAAATCAGTACTCCACATGTCCAGTTTGATGTTTATTCAGAATTATTAGCCTACCAAGTTTATAAATACACAACTATGTGAAATAAACACCATTAGCAGCATAATGTTTCCATTTATAGTATAAGAGACTCCTTACATTTCAAAGTAAAGTGTTGGCTTGTTTTTAAACTGCTCTACAATGCTTTCGCAATGGTGTACTGGCTACTGCCAATAAATCTGAACTGGAAAAATCTGAATAAATGCCCCCCCACCTGACAAATCCCGGGTCACCTGATCTCTCTTTGCTCTGATTGGTGGGAGCTATTTACAAGCGTTCTTCCATTGGACAGCTGAGCCGTCAATAACGACGAGTCATCGGGCTGAGGGCGGGGCTTGTAGTAATACGAGCTGGTGCAAACCTCCTTTCTTTCCATTCGAGCTGTCAATCAAATGACTGTTTTCAGTGTTTCGTGTGGAAGCTTAGAAACAGAGTAAACGAGTAGAATGGCACGAAACAGTTGTTATTAAAAATGGGCGGGGACTAGCTGGGTGTAAATAATATTTGTCTTAAATTCACTTGCTCTTATGGATTATCAGTATCATTATTTACGTAAACTGTGAATAACCCTGCTGACGCGGACAGCGCTGTCACATGATATCTGTTACTTTTCTCTGCGCGGATACAGTTGAACCAATCAGAGTCGTTTGCGATTACTAGGTGGTTATTTTTAAAAATCATTTTACAGTTAAGGCGGAGTTTAAATTTCAATATGCATGACACCAATAAATCCTTGTGAAGAACTTATATAAAAAATTACACTTTTAAGTTTTCATATGTTAGTATTAAAACAAAAACCGTCACAATATTTGAATGTTGTGCAAAGGCAATAGCGGTTTTTGTGCCACGCAGCGCCCCCTACAGGAATTAAACGCCTTAACACTCTCCAGCTGGAAATATTGCTGTTCAATGATAGTCTGGAAAAGAGAAGGAGGAGTGGATGAAAGGAGGAGGAGTGGAGGACAGGAAAAAACCTAAACACTCAGTGCTGTTCGCCATGTTGTGTTCAGGACACATGAGAGAATATATGGACGCCTCCGAGGCTTTATTCCAGCATTTACACACACAGAAATGGAGCTGATTTCATCTGATCTGTGACTGATCTTGGATCATTCCGACGAAAAACGCGTCTCAGAGGCGCATCAGGATTTTACGGAGGAATGCATTTTATCCGACACTATAAAACACTGTTTATTTGATTTGTTTTAAATGCTGTTTCTTCGGATCTCAGTGTATTTAAACCCTGAGCTGGATTTATATTCGTGTGTTCTGGAATGAAGATCACGACTCTGATTATATAAATCAAATTTATTCAAAGCATTTTTTTAAAGAACCAGAAGATCACATCGGGATGGTTTTGAACCCGACTGAACCATGAATAGGAATTTTCACCATGCACTCAAAATAATCGCTGTTTCTATATCGATGCTGATCAATGCATAAGCTTCAGGACAGGCTGCTGTCTCTATGTAATACAGTATGATTGCATTAATGTTTGATATTTCATCTATGCAAACAGAAACACACGCACTGACCTCCACACTGAGGATTTGTGAAATCTCTCAAACACTAAACCTCTCTTACAGACTTACACATTGATCCGGACCTGTTTGCTCACAAATAAATGCTTTTGGCAATATTAAAACATTAATTTCAGAGGGAGCGGATTATCAACTGGGATTTATTGCAGTACAAGAATCTGCATTGAAAATGAGGACAGACACCAAACTGGCCTTGGCCATATTCCTCGTGTCCTGTTCATCAGGTGGGTACATGTTTCTGCATTATATATCCATGCATATGCATGTGCATTATATGATTTTATGTCATAAACTGCAGCCTGTTGACCCCAGCATTGCTCATAGATTGTGAGTAACTCCGGCTGTGTCGGATTAATCTAAAGCTTTGGCCAGTGACACAAAGAGCTGCTTGTTACAGCCGTGTGTTGACCTGCGTTACATGTAACTGATGTGGTAACACTTTATTTTAATAAGGTGTCCTTGTTACACATGTTGCATGTGCTTGCTATTATAATAACAATGGATTATGCATAATTACATGCAAGTAACCCAAACCCGTGCATGTAGTTAATTAATATTACTCAGTACTTAGATGTATAATTACATTGTAACAAGGACACAGAGTAACAAAGAGTAACCACTGCTTGTCTGGTGTTGCACTGAAGGGCTCTGCTCATAATATCTGAGGTCCAGTATGATTGTGCAGAACAAAGACGAAGGCCTCAGTATATTCTATAGACCGTTCCCATACCTGAGCACGATTTTTACAGTTTATATTCAGCAGGAATTTGAGCAAGATTTGAGAATGTTCTAAAGAAGTTTTATTTTGAGCTATTGAATCAGATTCATGATAGGTTACACATGTCAATATCAGAAAGTATCTATATATACATTTACTGTTCAGAAGTTTTTTGTTGTTTTTGCAAGCCTTTTTTATACTCATTAACATCTGCATTTATTTGACCAAAATACAGTAAAAACAGCAAAATTGTGAAATATTAATACAATTTAAAATAACTTTTCTATGTGAGTATATGTTTAAATGTATTCTGTGATGCGCAGCTGTATTTTCAGCATCATTCCTCCAGTCTTCAGTGTCACATGATCTTCAGAAATCATTCTAATATGCTGATTTGCTGCTCAAGAAACATTTCTGATTATTATTATGTTGAAAGCAGTTGTGCTGCACAATATTTTTGTGGAAATCTTGATACATTTTATTTTTCAGGATTCGCAGATGAATAGAAAGTTCAAAAGAACAGCATTTATTTGAAATAGAAATCTTTTATAACAATATAAATGACTTTATTTTAATTAAAAAGTACTGACCTCCACTCCAAACGTTTAAACTGTAGTGTGTGCATGCTCATGTAAACATGCTGTAATAATTTAAATTCATTAGTCCTATAGTGCATGAGGAATCTGCATGGCATTGACATTTGACATCTGATGAATGAACAGTTCTCCTTGGGTAGATTTGTAAAATTAAAGGTGCAGCGTTTTCATACATTGCTTCTTTAATCATGTAATAATAATTAATTATTTTAGGTGCCAGGCATTTCTAATGATCTACTCAAATCAATCCTGTAAGTGATGTTTTCACTCTTCTGTAAAGATTCTTTCATGAATTTGCTTAAAAGTACAGTAAACACGTTGTGTTATTAGCTTGGAAATCGTATTTATTCTGAAGATCTTTCCTTTTTTCCTCCAAATAATGCATCATGATTTTGTGGCTGGATTGTTGGAATCTTGATTGTAATTGGCTTTTATAACAAAGTAGGAGGAGCTTTTGTTGTGATCAGCTCATCCACCCACATCTGAAACACCTCAGACCAAACTCTGGAGAGCTTTAGTGTTTGCTGTTGTGTATGTAGAGACGGATAGATGGATAAAGAGGCTAGATAATGAGAAGAACACAGTTTGGTGGGGTCACAGATGAGGGCATCTCATCGGTCTGGATTTGGTCAGATGCTCGTTCAGATTAGACACTGTGATCTTTTTAAAGATGTCCGAACGCTTCACTGCTCAAGGTTACAGAGTCTGACGCCAGAATAACACTAATGCCATTAAAGACCAGTATGCTTTGTCTATCTGACGTGCTGCATTAGAGAGCTTCACCGATGTGTGTTTTACTTTGGCGTATAACTTGAGGAATTCCCTTTTTTTAAGGTGAAGTGTGTAATTTTTTAAATATATACAATCAGTGGTCAGCTGATGTGTTTTTCAGTAGCTGAAACTGATTGAGATATTAGTGGTATATAGGGTTGCAAAAAGGTGGAAAATTTCCAGTAAATTTCAGAAACATTCCAGAAATTTTGGAAACTTTCCAGGATTTTTTTTTTTAATATTCCAGGGATTTTTGGAAATTTACTGGAAATTTTCCACCCCTTTGCAACCCTACTGGTCTATATTTCTAAATGGTCTATCATTAGTAAAAAAGGATATCACTGTCATTATAATTAAATTATTGCCTTTCTGGCACATTACTCCGTTTAAAGCAGTCTGGCATGGGAAACCTGTCTGAAAACAGTAATTTGGTAGCTCTCGTGACGTGCAGAAGTTATCAGAAGCATCAGAAGTGACAGGTGACGGTGTTTACTAAACTCTCTCTCTCTCTCTCTCGCTCTCTCTCTCTCTCTCTCTCT